ATCCGTTTTTGGTCCATTTAAATCCATTGACATCCATTTTCATCCGTTTACATCCATTTTAATCTGTTTACATCTATTTTCCATCAGTTTACATCTGTTTTTCAGCCGTTTTCATCTGTTTTTCAGCCGTTTTCATCTGTTTTTCAGCCGTTTTTTTTTTTTAACGGAAGAAAAATAGGGTTTTCTTCTGTTAAAAAAAAAACCCAGATGTTAATGGACACGGACATTAATGTATATAAATGGATGATCATTCCTTTACATCCGCTATTCCATAGACATACATGGGTGTCTGTTTTTCATCCGTAAATGGACAGATGAAAAACGGACATAAGAAATGCCGACTTGTCATGCACTTTGGACCCCCCAAAGTAACCCCCCATGTTTCCCAATGGATACCATTTACATCTGTGCAACTTCAAAGTAGTTCCTCCACTACTTTTGGTCCAACTTTCATGCGACTTAAGGGCCAATGACATCAATGTAAACCCCCCAAAATCACACCTGAATGTTGTACATGCGACTTGTGTGCAACTTTGTACAGCAGAAACAATTACCCTTCGATAATTGCACCAAAGTCGCATTCATCCATAGTCCCAACAAAGTCACGCCAAAGTCGCATCAAGCTGCATTGTAAAGTCTCAATAAAAAAATTGCATGATTTTGAAGTCGCACAAGTGTGAATGAAGCCATAATAAAAAGGTATTTATCTCCTAGCGCACCACCCCCTCAGTGAGACATTGAGCTTGCAGTAACGAAGTGGGTAATAGAATAGGGAGCTTTCAGTAACAAAAGGGGTTAACAGGAGGAGTTGCCATTATTTAATGGGTTAATAGGAGCAGCTTTCAGCAGTCAAGGGGTTAACAGGAGAAAGAGTTGCCAGTAATGAAGCGTTAATAGGATAGGAAGGGATGTGGCCTGGGCTGTGTCTGGGTGGGGTTAGGAAGGGGTGTGACCTGGGATGCATTTGAGTGGGTTTAGGAAGGGGTGTGGCCTGGGTTGTGTCTGGGGGTTGTTAGGATGTGTGTGGCCTAGGCTGTGTCTGCGTGGAGTCAGGAAGGGGTGTGGCATGGGATGTCTGGGTGGAGTTAGAAAGAAGTGTGGCATGGGATGTCTCTGGGTGGGGTTAGGAAGATGTGTGACCTGGGATGTACAGTATCTCCCAGAAGTGAGTACACCCCTCACATTTGTGTAAATATTTAAGTGTTCTTGCATGGCACGACCCCTTACTGTTATCTCACATATATATTCTTATTATAGCCAAATTTACCACCCTAACTCCTCCCACAGTTTTTTTACACTACATAGACAGTAATAAACCGAAACGTGCAGATTGTTCCCGATTGGTGTGTTATTACTTTGTGGAACGTTTCGCCGAATGGTTCACGAAAATTCGGCGTTTTTGTGGTGAAATTGGTCCCATAGGAAGGAATGGCGGAATGTTCAAAACTAGTGGGAGCTGACAAAAGCTAAAGTGTGAGCTGAAAAATCAGGACATGATTTCTAAACTGCCATCACTCCCTCATTTTCAAGCCCACCTACACAAACCTTATATCAAAACGTTCAGCTATCCCTGCTGTCACTAAAAATGTCCACGGCTAAGCCATAGTCCTGATAGTTTTCACAATATGACCATTTGTTTGCAACTCACGCCGCCCATTGACATTCATTGAAACTCCACTCTAGCCACCTCAAATTTTAAGGGCCATTTCTAAACTGCGACTGTGCCTTCATTTCTAATATTTCAGAGACATACTATGCATCAAAATGTAGGTCTGGGTCTTGTGATTCTCACAATATAAAGCTCTTCGGTGTAGGCTTCATAATTTTTAAACTACAGCCGTTTGAAGATGGCAACCGCCAGTGAAGTGAGCAAGTTGGAGCAGTTTGTTTTTAACCGCTCTTCTCTGCCCTTGCTGTAGAGTGAGTTACCATAGGAACCCAGGTGTGTGAGCAGGCAGCAGAGTGACAAAAGCTAGAGTGTGAGCTGAAAAATAAAAGTTGAAATGCATTTCTCACTCTATCAAGCTTGCCATGTGCACTTTTTACATTTGATCAATCGGTTAGTGTAATGTTTACTATCTTTACTCACTCCAAACAATCCACACAGTTACTCTGCCCACTCCATAAAGTTACTCTGCCCAGTCCAACCTTTTCACAGTTACTCCAGCCACTCCATCCACACAATAGATACTCAAGCCACTCCACCCAGTTACTCTGCCCACTCCAGTTGTAGACTACTGGTGGAGGCAAGAACACTTCACACAATTTCCCCAGAAATTGTAGCTTTTCTAGTTTATTATATCTTTTCATGTGACAACACTGAAGAAACACACTTTGCTACAATGTGACGAAGTGAGTGTACAGCTTGTAAAACATGTAAATTTGCTGTCCCCTCAAAATAACTCAACACACAGCCATTAATGTCTAAACTGATGGCAACAAAAGTGAGTACACCCCCTAAGTGCAAATGTCCAAATTGGGCCAAAGTGTCAATATTTTGTGTGGCCACCATTATTTTCCAGCACTGCCTTAACCCTCTTGGGCATGGAGTTCACCAGAGCTTCACAGGTTGCCACTGGAGTAATCTTCCACTCCTCCATGACAACATCACAGAGCTGTCCATTTGAGGATGCCCCACAGATGATCAATAGGGTTTAGGTCTGGAGACATGTTTGGCCAGTCCATCACCTTTACCCTCAGCTTCTTTAGCAAGGCAGTGATCATCTTGGAGGTGTGTTTGGGGTCGTTATGTTGGAATACTGCCCTGCGGCCCAGTCTCCGAAGGGAGGGAATCATGCTCTGCTTCAGTATGTCACAGTACATGTTGGCATTCATGGTTCCCTCAATGAACTGTAGCTCCCCAGTGCCGGAAGCACTCATGCAGCCCCAGACCATGACACTCCCACCACCATGCTTGACTGTAGACACACTTGTGTTTGTACTCCTCACCTGGTTGCCACCACACATGCTTGACACCATCTGAACCAAATCAGTTTATCTTCGTCTCATCAGACCACAGGACATGGTTCCAGTAATCCATGTCCTTAGTCTGCTTGTCTTCAGAAAACTGTTTTTGGGCTTTCTTGTGCATCATCTTTAGAAGAGGCTTCCTTTTGGGACGACAGCCATGCAGACCAATTTGATGCAGTGTGAGGCGTATGGTCTGAGCACTGACAGGCTGACCCCCCACCCCTTCAACCTCTGCAGCAATGCTGGCAGCACTCATATGTCTATTTCCCAAACACAGCCTCTAGATATGACGCTGAGCACGTGCACTCAATGTCTTTGGTGGACCATGGCGAGGCCTGTTCTGAGTGGAAACTGTCCTGTTAAACTGCTGTATGGTCTTGGCCACATTCCTGCAGCTCAGTTTCAGGGTCTTGGCAATCTTCCTATAGCCTAGGCCATCTTCATGTACAACAATTCTTTTATTCAGATCCTCAGAGTTCTTTGCCATGAGGTGCCATATTGAACTTCCAGTGACCAGTATGAGAGATGAGAGTGATAACACCAAATGTAACACACCTGCTCCCCATTCACACCTGAGACCTTGTAACACTAATGAGTCACATGACACCGGGGAGGGAAAATGGCTAATTGGGCCCAATTTGGACACTTTCACTTAGGGGTGGACTCACTTTTGTTGCCAGCGGTTTGGACATCAATGTCTGTGTGTTGAGTTATTTTGAGGGAACAGCAAATTTACATGTTATATAAGCTGTACACTCACTACTTTACATTGTAGAAAAGTGTCATTTCTTCAGTGTTGTCACATGAAAAGATGTAATAAAATATTTACAAAAATGTGAGATTGTACTCACCTCTGGGAGATACTGTATTTGGGTAGGGTAAAAAAGGGGTGTGGCCCTGGGTGGTTAGGATGTGTGTGGCCTGGGCTGTGTCTCGTTAGGAAGGGTGTAGCCTGGGCTGTCTGGGTGTGGTTTAGAAGGGTGTAACCTGGGTTGTCTGGGTTTGGTTAGGAAGGGTGTGGCCTGGGCAGTGTCTGGGTGGAGCTAGGAAGGGTGTGGCCTGGGCTGTGTCTGGGTGGAGTTAAGGGTGTGGCCTGGCCTGTGTCTGGGTGGAGTTAGGAAGGGTGTGGCCTGGGCTGTGTCTGGGTGGAGTTAGGAAGGGTAAGGCCTGGGTGGTGTCTGGGTGGTTAGGAAGGAGTGTGGCATGGGCTGTGCCTGGGAAGAGTTAGGAAGGGGTGTGGCCTGGGCTGTGTCTGGGTGGAGTTAGGAAGGGGTGTGGCCTGGGCTGTGTCTGTGTGGTTAGGAACGGTAAGGCCTGGGTGGTGTCTGGGTGGTAAGGAAGGGGTGTGGCCTGGGCTGTGTCTGGGTGGAGTTAGGAAGGGTGTGGCCTGGGCTGTGTCTGGATGGAGTTAGGAAGGGTGTGGCCTGGGCTGTGTCTGGATGGAGTTAGGAAGGGGTGTGGCCTGGGTTGTGTCTGGGTGGATTCAGGAAGGGGTGTGGCCTGGGTTGTGTCTGGGTGGTTAGGAAGGGTGTGGCCTGGGCTGTGTCTGGATAGTTATGATGGGTGTGGTCTGGACTGTGTCTGGATGCAGTTAGGAAGGGGTGTGGCCTGGTCTGTGTCTGGATGGAGTTAAGGGGTGTGGCCTGGGCTGTCTGGGAGGAGTTAGGAAGTGTGTGGCCTGGGCTGTTTCTGGGTGGAGTTAGGGTGTGGCCTGGGCTGTGTCTGGGTGGAGTTAGGGTGTGGCCTGGGCTGCGTCTGGGTGGAGTTAGGAAGGGTGTGACCTGGGCTGCGTCTGGGTGGAGTTAGGAAGGGTGTGTGGCCTGGGCTGTGTCTGGGTGGAGTTAGGAAGGGGTGTGGCCTGGGCTGTGTCTATGGAGTTAGGAAGGGTGTGGCCTGGGCGGGGTTATAACAATAAACGTGCAGTAGTAAGCTGACTCTCGGCACCTGGAAATGTATAGTAGGGGGGGCGAGGAGCGGTAATCTGGGACTTGTAGTTCGCCATGCCCTAGGCACAGCCCGCATACACTGACCTCCTCGGCTCCTTCCCGTTCTCTCCACTCGCCCAGCACTCCGCTCCTTTGCACCCGGGCTGAGGCCGGCAGTATTTCTTCTCCACTTCGTCCAACAGCGAATCCAAATCATCATCGGCCATGGAGAAGTCCTCCTCAGGTCCGGCGCAGTAGCTTGTTGCTAGGAGACCACCTACGGGAAGCCGCAGGAATAAAAAGGCATCAGGAACCCGCACACGCGCAGTAGTTAGCGAAGTGACACGAAGTCTTCATCCCGACCCTCGGTATGGCGCTTTCTCTGTTACCCGGTGACCTCCGTGTCCCGCGTTCCCTATGTGGTGTAACTGTGTGCAGTGCCCGTATTCATAAATAAAATCACAATTAAAAATATTCCGTAGTCGGCAGGATTCGAACCTGCGCGGGGAGACCCCAATGGATTTCTAGTCCATCGCCTTAACCACTCGGCCACGACTACTACATATAGTTTATTGTATACAACCTGATTCATCTTACTATTAGAAGATGGGCGAGTGGACTACAGAGCACAGGAATGGATTCTATATATTGTATATAGGTGGCGTGGTGACGCCGCACTCAGTCTTCTCTTCCATTTATCTGTGAGCTGTCCCCAGATTTTGTGCACACCTCACACCATGGAACCCACTACAAGAACAGGAGGAAAATACAAGACTTTGTCCTCCAGGGTCGGGGCCCACCAATAGGAGAGGACAGTGTGTAATAAAATATATAAAGAAATACAATATTTCAAATAATGAAGTAAACAAAATAGTTAACAATAATAAAATAATAAATTAAAAATAATCAGTCATCAACAACCCTTCGTCTTTCCAGGGACTGCCAGTAGGTCCAATAGTGAACAGTGGATCACACAGATAATAAAAAATAAATATTTTATATAAAATAAAACAGAATGATTTACATTGAATAAAAACCGTAAAAAACCCAAAATATAATCAATTCTTTGTTCTTCAGGAGACTGGCATGCAGAATGAAAAAATTTGTTTCGATTTGTTATTTAAACAATTTTGTTTAGTTAAATTCATTTAATTTGTTTTCGGAATTCATTTAATTTTGTTTATTCATTTTTGATTTGATTATAATTTTTCAAAAAAAATTCAATAAAAAATTGTAATTAACTTCAACTGAATCGAAAGTATCGAATTCAAATTTATTCTATTCGAAATTTGAATTTCGAGGGACCGTTTCTTTCTATTTTATTGTATTGTTTTATTCTATTTTTATTTTTCTATTCTTTTCTATTTTATTCCAATCAATCCATTTGAATTCAAATTTATTCTATTCGAATTTCGAAAGACAGTGATATTCTTGCTATTCTATTGCTTTTTTTTCTATTTTATTCTATTCTTTTCTATTCTTTTATTTTCTATACTATTCTGTTTTATTTTATTCTATTCTTTTATTTTGCATTGTATTCTATTCTGTTTTATTCTAATCTGTTCTTTTTGAAATTCGAATTTCAGACAGCGGCTGTATTCTATTTTATTCTATTCTATGCTATTTCTTTTCTTTCTTTTCTATTCTATTCTACTCTTTTCTATTCTATTTTATTGTTTTATTCTGTTCTGTTCTACTCTATTATTTTCTATTCTATTATTTTCTATTTTTATTCTTTTATATTCTATTATTTTCTGTTCTTTTCTATTCTATTCCTTTATTTCTATTCTATTTTATTATATTCTTTTATTTTCTATTCTTTTCTATTTTACTCAATTCTATTCTTTTATTTTCAATTCTATTCTTTTCTTTCTATTCTTGTTTTCAAATTAAATTACATTTTCAAATTCGATTTAATCTTCAATTTCAATTTGAATTTCGAATGAAATTTCACTTCATTACTTCCGTTTCATTTAAATTTGTTACTATTGTAATTCAGAAATTCAGATACATCTGCATATCCGAATAACTAAAAATTCATCCGAATTTCAAAATGGAAGGAAGCGAATCTCACATGTCTATTGACGATAATGCTGATGGGAGTGGACGGTGTATAATAATTAAAATAAAATAATAATGTTATTTAAAAGTAGGAAATTAAATATTTTTATAGTGGTATATAAAAAATACATTAAAGATAGTAAATAAAAATATATCACCAATTTTTTGTTTTTCAGGAGATTTCCAGTACCACTAATGTGAGTGTACAGTGTTTGACACAGATAATGTATGATCATGAATGCTACTGCCAGACTCATCCACCTTACCAGCCGTTCAGTGTTTGCTACTCCTCTCTGCCAATCCCTCCATTGACTTCCCCTCACCCAACAAATTCAATTCAATATACTAACAACGACATGCAAAGCTATCCACAACTCGACCCCCAGCTACATCACCAGCCTAATCTCATAATATCAGCCAAAATGTTCTCTACGTTCCTCCCAAGACCCCCTGCTCTCTAGCTACCTTATCGTATTTTTATTAAAAAGTAGCTAAAATCCATTCACAAGATGTGCGTTATGCTGGTGCACCACAGAATATTCACATAAACTCCCCTTAAAAGTGAAGTATGGGTTTAACCACTTCAAGTCCAGACATTTTCACCCCCCCTTCCTGCCCAGGCCAATTTTCAGCTTTCAGTGCTATCACACTTTGAATAACAATTGCACGGTCATGCAACACTGTACCCATATTCATTTTTTAGCATTTTTTTAGACCCACTCACCTCGGTGATGCTGCATTGATCCAATGCCGCATCTGTTCCCTGCTGCTTCTAAGACTGAGAACTGAGTGATCAAATGCCACTGATTGCACAGGTCTCACCATTCGGTGAGCAGAGTGGAGACTGTCAGTCTCTGGCTCTCTGCTGTCCCCTGGATCAGGCTCTCAGCGGCATGCTGAGAGGCTGAGCTAACTTCCGGTCAGGAATCTGGGTAGATCCCATCTTTAAAGTGCAGAATGAACTACATTCTTGTGATCTCTAAGAGAAGTAGGACTAAAAAAGCTTTGGTCCTACTTCTCCCTTAGGAGATAAGATTCGGCAATTATGATCTGAACAAGATCCGCTTACTTCCTGCTGTGGCATCCTAATGTCACAAGCTCCGCCCCTACGCATTACATCATGGTCACATGCAGGGGCGGACTGACCATTCGAGCACTCGGGCACTGCCCGAGGGCCCGGGGTCAGTAGAGGGCCCCATGAGATGCCTCTGGTACCTTTCATTGGCATTTTCATAGGCTTTTTTGGGTGTGGGTGAGGACACAGGGGCCCCGTGGTCCCTTATTGCCTGGGGGTCCCATGAGTTGTCAGTCCGCCTCTGGTCACATGACTTCATCAGAGTGTACATAATATATAGGATAATGTATAAAGTAGGTGGGAACCGTTGTAGAAGTCAGGGACCGTTGGAGTAGAGATACTGTAAGTATTGCAGACTTTAAAGTGCTACTAAACCCTGTACCCTGCATTCACTGTATCTGATCTCCCATGGTACACAGAACAGGGAAAGGCAACTATTTTAGTAAATATAAACTGCTAAATAGCTTTTCTCATCAGCAGTTAGAGCAGTCTTGTGACTTCTATCAGTGTCCAGCCAAGCACTGGTTAAAGCTTGTAGAAGGAGTTTTCTTTCTGCTCTAGGAGGATGAAAAAACCCCTGATCTCTGTCTGGACAGTGCTGATTGGCCCTGTGCTGATCACATGCACTCTCCCAAGAAAAAAAAAACCTCTCTAGCAATACACACTAAACTGAGCAGGTGCAGAATGGCTATGGTTCAGTCTGTCTTATCAGGAGATAAGACTTGGACATTTGCACAAGAGGAGGAGCAGAGAAGTCAGGATCAAACATCCTTTTTACACAATGCAGAGGATTAACTCCTTAGGTTCCAGAGTGAGTATAACAAGCATGCTTTACTGCATATACAGACTGATTTTACTGTTGTGGGTTTAGTAACACTTTAATGTCATGCAATAAAATAAACTTACTGCTTACAGTCTTCTTTAAATAGTACACTGAGCTGTGTATGTGCAGCTCAATTTACATTCTGACATGATGACTGTGTGCTGGGATGAATGAACTCCTGCCCACGGCCAGGAGTTACGTCATCCTGCGCTGGCCAATCAAGATGGCCGAAGACCGACACTTAGAAGAAGTCGGGGACTTTTGGAGCAGAGGTAAGTATTGCTGACTTTAGTTCCGCTTTAGTTCTGCTTTAAGTTTTTCTTACCTGGTAAAGTCAGTTATATTCATCTGAGTCCCCCATCAGGTCTCTTGCCATTTTTTTTTCTGTGGTCCGCTGGTCCAGCACCACACATTAAAGAATAACTAAGGGCAAAAAATGTGTGCATGCGCTGCTAAGTGTACATTCTACAGGGGATTGCAAGCAGGCAAGTAACTGTATTTTTTTTGCAGAAGAAACATTTCATGTCTCTTCTGCAATAAAGAGCCTGCCTGGTCGCAATTTTAGTTTTTTTTAACTTTAGTTCCACTTTAACCCTTGCTGCTAGGTCTTCTTCACTCCGCTTGGTCTGATGTCATTCTACTTTGGGACCCTTCCACTGGCCAGCCAATTGGAAATTTCCTTTTCATGTAGGCAGTGACATGGACATCTAGAAGAACACATCTAGATAGTAGATCATGGGACTGTGGCTTATGGTGAATGCAAACAGGGATTTAGAAAGCCAACTACAGGAACAAGAAAGCCCTTGGGACTTTTGTGATAAATACCAATCAGAAATACAAAAAAAAAAAGAATAAAACCATAAATATGTTATTACATAAATACAAATATATTAAAAAGACATTCTAAGGGATATATAGAATGTACATTTTCACTAAAATAATTGAAGTACTTCCATCATATGTTCATTACCAAAAATATACATCATAGCAGTAGCAACATAGTAGATACTGTGAGAATAGCTGGATTATGTCATAGAAATTCTCAACGTGTTTCATGAATCTTAGTTCACTTCATCAGGAGAAAATGTAACTGATAGAATATCTATAAAGAAGCAATGTCATTAGAAACAAATCAAAAAGTTTCAATATGATATATTAGGTTCTATCCCCACACATTTTCTGATTATTAAAACTTTCCAAAGGTTGAACCATACTTACAACCCACAGTGGAAGGCAAAGATAAAAATGAAATCACGGTCATTGGATGC